TGTGTGTGTGTGTGTGTGTGTGTGTGTGTGTGTGTGTGTGTGTGTGTTGCTGCCTGTCAAAATTTTTTTTATGAAACTTTCAGAAAGTAATTAAGGGATCGACAACTAAACATTTGAAGTAAACCCAATTCAAGATGGCTGCCAGAGGTAAATGACCATAGCCTTCACAAAAATGACTGTACTTTGGTAAATGTTACAAATATTGAGCTTGTGTTCGTCTGTCTCTCCTTCCTGTCCTCTCAACCAGCCGGTCAAAGCAGATGGTCTCTTGTCCTGATCCTGGTTCTGCTGGAGGTTTCTTCCTGTTAAAGGGAGTTTTTCTTTCCACTGTCTCCACTGTGCTTGCTCAGGATGGGAGACTGCAACGAAGCCAAGATTCAACTTGTCTGCTGGATTCTTAGATAGAGAACTTTACTAACTGGCTTTTATATGAATGTTCCTGTAAAGTCCCTGAGACAACTTTGTTGTGATTTGGTGCTTAAGAACTGAACTGAATTGAATTGAATAGATGAGAGTCATTCACAACACCTATCCAAAGCACTGACAGATCACATGAGATGTTACATAATACTACTTTTTGACGAAAAAGACGCAACTATGTATTTATTTTATTTATTTATTTTGAACCTTTATTCATACAGGTAGTGTCATTGTCATGAGAATTGATTTTCAAGTGAGACCTGTTTTGGGAGCAGATGGTGGCGGTAAGTGCCTTGCTCAAGGACCAGAGTGGGGCAAATGAGGGTGGAGGCAGGTGTGGGTGTTTCACCTTTTCAGAATCAGAATCCACTTTATTGTCATTGCACAGTTAAGTACAAAGAAACAACGTTCCAGAAGTGTACCACATTTTGACTTTGACGGTCCGGGGAGTTGAACTAGTGACCTTTCGATCACAGGCCCACGTTCTCTAACCTCTCTCCAAAACAAATAAATGAATAAATAAATAAACTATAACACCGTGGTGCAGTTGGTGAAGCTGCCACCTCTCAGCAAGCAGGCCGCCCTGGTTCAAATCCCAGCCAGGTATCTTTCTGGGGGGAGTTTGCATGTTGTGCATGCGTGGGTTTTCTCTGGGTACTCCAGTTTCCTCACATACACACAAAGAAAAAGCATGTTAGACTGAGAGGTTACTCTAAATTGTCCCTACGTGTGAGTGAGAGAGTGAATGGTTGTTTGTCACGTTTGTCTCTGTGTTCCTGCGATGGACTGGAGACCTGTCCAGGATGTCTTCCACCTCTCACACAGCAATGGCTGGACATGGGCACCAGTGACCCCCAGGACCTGAAAAGGAAGAAGGCTCTGGTTGTGAGTGACGTGACATGAAGCTAAAAAAAAAAGGGTATTTGACAGTATGACTAACACCAGGACGTTTTTCTGTTAAGTTCTAAATATGTTTCCATCAGCCAAAGGGCCAGAAATCTATTCCATGCTCTGAGGGAAGAATGGAATCTAATTAGAGAAGAAAAAAATGGTTTGAAGGGATTTTCGTGTGGCAACAGATGAGTAATTCAAGGTTTATATGAAACCATCTCTTCCTCTCCTCTGTGTCCTTCGGGTTTCATTGTGTCGTGTGAGTCATCTGAGATCCCCTGCTTGCAGGGACGGCTGTTAGCCTCACTACAGTCATTGTTCCTGCTACATTCCTGCACCACATGTTCCTTTGTGCCACGCCTGCTTCACTTACATGTTAAAACATTGACACGCAAGCCAACCAAAACCCTTCCCAGGGAACGGATCAGATCACCACAAGTATTTGTATAATGTGAATGTGTGTTCCTATGTGTGTGCAGAGATTCAGGTCTCTCTTGTACATGAGTCCTCGAGGCTCAATGGGATTAACCTGTCTAAATAAAGGTTGAATGAATGAAATTCTACCATATCTTCTTCATGGTCCTATCTGTGTCATCTGCTGTAATTGTCATATTGTCATGCTAACGGGGCGGCTGTGGCTCAGTGGTTAGAGCAGTCGTCCTCCAATGCAAGAGTTGGGGGTTCGAATCCACCAGCAGTCACATGCCGAAGTTTCCCTGCGCAAGACACTGAACCCCTCATAGCCTCTGATGTGTGTCCCATCAGTGTATGAATGTGAGAAAGCTCTGATTAATCTCTTTAGAATGATTTGTTCAATTATCTTTGTAGAGATCTAGTATAGAGCTGTATGAATGGGTAGATGAGGCACAGATTGTTGTAAAGCGCTTTGAGTATCTCAATAAGATAGAAAGGCGCTATGTAAGTACAGTCCATTTGTTTTGCTTTGTTTTTTTTTTGTTTGTTTGTTTTTTGAATGTCCAGAGGACCAGATTGAACTTTTTTGGATTTTTCTACCTGGATTATTGAGCATGCATCAGGATACAGTCCATTTACCATTCATTTACCATCTAACAGCCGCACTAGATCCAGAGAACCTAGAAGATAAACACAGACTCTGTAAAATAAAGAATGGGTTTATTTATGGGGGTGGGGTGGGACTAGACTGGGAACTTTCTGTGAAAAGTGAGAAACAAATTATGACTGAGCCAAATAGACGGAACTGAATCTTGAGCAGATTGTGTTTGTTGCTGGCTTAGAGGAGGAGGCAAGAGGTTCCACAAAAACAGGTGAGTGACCAAAAGCAGGCGAGACTGGAAAAAGCAAGTGGGCAGGCATGAACTGAGGACAGAGCTGGTTTTCCAATCTGGAATTCGTAGCAGAGGTGGAGATCCCAACGGAGACAAAATGAATCTGACTCCCGACACGGGCCGACTATCAAATTTCTCCTGGGTCATGAGTAAACAAGGACAAAAGCTTCATCTATCCACCCCCCGAGAACTCTGTGCAAGCTTATCAGAACTGTTGGCTGAAACAACATCTTCAGAAACTGTGGCTGATCTGAAAAAAGCTCATGGACAAATCTCAACACCTCGATGTCAAATGCAAATGTAATCATGTTTTAATTGAGCTGCTGGTAGAGTTTGTTGATGTCTCAAATCCTGTCCTGATAGAAAAGATGTGAAAGATCTTGTTTTGTAATACCACTATCTACCCTCATGTTTCTCCCCCTTTTCATATCTAAGATTATTATCTGATAAGGATAAAATGGTCGCGCTTTCTAAAGTTGCAGCTTCGTGCACTCCGCCCATCTTTCGGACGACTGTACGTACATATTCGCATTGTACCTCGGTGCAATTCCAACAAAGTTTATTCTGATTCTGATTGACCAGAACACAGAATCAACAGGCCATGAAACAAGTCATCATGGACAGGAGGATCAGCAGCATCACAGATTCACCTAAGGAACAAGAAAGCACAGTTTTTGTTTTAATCAGTTTAGTTTTTAAAATCTCTAAAGGTTAGGCAAGCACAAACTGAAGTCTTCCCCAGTTGTGAACACACAGATCACTGCCAAGTGTTGGATCGGCTCAGCCTAAAAACCCCTGGTAGAATCAGCTCTAACAAGTCCTGTGTGGGACCTGCACTCTCTCAGCTTGCCTGCAAAAAACAAGGGGACAAAATTAAAGAGCAAACACTAAATAAAACTGAATTCTCACAAAATCTCCTTCCCAACAGTCACCTCTTGTCAACCTAAGATGCTTCACAGGTTTGTCTCAGTAGCAATTAGAGATGAGGGTGGAATCCATAATTAACCACTAGGCTGAGGAACAGCTTCTACCCTGAGGCTGTTAGACTCATGAATCACTAGTCAGGATTATCACTGTGGAAAAAAAATCACTGTGAAAAAAAATCACTGTAATGCCACTTGATTGTTGATATGTGCTGCTGACTATCCATGATGCTGCTCTCATGCTGCTGATTTATTTCATGTTCTTGTATTCATTTGTCCTCATCTGCTCACACAGACTCATGTTCGTGCTGCTGTTGTTTGGCTCATTGTTTTGTACTATTAATGCTTAGTGTATTCTTAGTTTAACATATTTCTTACTTCATATCTTAGATCTTATTACTGTTTTTCTTTACAATTTGTATTCAACTCTTGAAACTGTGCCTGCAGTCAACCTACTTCACATATGGGGAGCAATATTATAGCAGAAACATGGGTGTGCTATGGGGTCTCCAGTTTCTCCTATTGTTGCCAACCTGTACATGGAGGAGGTAGAAAAGAGAGCCTTGACATCCTTTTCAGGGACACCACCAAGTCATTGGTTCAGGTATGTTGACGACACCTGGGTTAAAATTAAATCTCAGGAAGTCCAACATTTTACTGACCACATCACTGGCCAAAAGGATGGACCAGCACAGAAGATCAACATCATCAGGCCAGGACTCTGAGGTCTACACTCATCTCCAGGTCAGAGGTCACTCTTTCAGGGATGAAGATGTTCACATCCTGGACAGAGAGAAACGATGGTTTGAGAGAGGAGTAAAGGAGGCCATCTTTGTGAAAAGAAATCGTCCATCATTAAACAGGGGCGGAGCCTCCGGGTTCAACTGTCTCCCTCTTACAATGCTGTGATTGCTAGTATCACTCAGCCCTCTGTGAACAGTAAACAGCCATCAGGTGCTAATGATCCATTGTTAGGCT